GCTAGAGAAAGTCATGTTATGTGTATTACTGAGCCTTCTAGAATGCTAGTGTGTTCTAGATGGTTTATGATGATCCACCCTCCCCACTCCCCATTCTCTCTGAAATGTTAGTTACTTTGGTTAAAAGATATAACCAATATACTTGAATGAGACTCTACTAGGTACAATAGTGGCAGAGAAGTATGACTTTGTATATATCGTATTGAAACCTGTTTTTGTTTATTAAAAGGAAAAATATTACACATAAGAAAAATGACTGGTTGTTCCAGAATAAGAAAGAGAACAGTGAAGCTCAAATCTGAATGGATAAATTTGTAAGTCTGTAGAAAGAAAATTTGATTTGTCTTAGATTATATTACATGCAAACAATAAGTCTGAAAATAAGCAATTAAATGCGTTAAAATTTTGCCAAAGTTGGCAAAATCTTGATGAGTTTGAATATTTAATTTAAAAAGAGGGAGGGCTCCTGGAAAACCACAAAGATTTGTTCTTTCATCTTTTAAAAAGAGAGGTGCTAGAAATAATTAGATTTATTTAATATGTTAATATCGATCAATTGCTTAGAAATAATTGTCAAGTCAGAAGAGATGCTCAGCCTTCTCTAGGTTAAATCTATATTGGTAAAATATTACTATTTATCTAAATATTTGAGAAATTATATGCTATATGAGAGTTGTGCAGATTTCTCAATGCCCTCTCTGTACATGACATGTTTCTATTTATCAGCACCCTGATGGTGCCTTCCCTGATGACAACAGTATATATGTGTTACTAGTCACGATTTCAATTATTATTTAAAATGTTACTGGAGGCTGGGCACAGTGGCTCACGCCTGCAATCCTGGCACTTTGGGAGGATGAGGTGGGAAGATAAGGTAGGAGGATGGCTTTAGGCCAGGAGTTTGAGACCAGCCTGGGCGACATAGCCAGACCCTGTCTCTATAAAAATAAAAAACTTAGCTGGGTGTGGTGGTGCATGCCTGTAGTCCCAGCTACTTAGGAGGCTGAGGCAAGAGGATCCCTTGAGCCCAGGAGTTTGAGGCTGCAGCGAGCTATGATTGTGCCACTGCACTACAATCTGGGTGACAGGGCAAGACTCTGTCTCGAAAAAATAAAATAAAATAAAGTAATAAAATAAGTTACTGGGCTGCAACTTTCCTTCTTTAATTTAAATCTAGCATCTTCCAGGCCACTGGTTTTCAGCTGGAGTTGTACATCAGCCTTTCCTATGCAGTTTTATTAAAATACAGATGTTCAGGACTTACCTCAAGCTCACTGAGTATCTTCAGTCGATATTCTTGGCATTTTATGTAAATTATATCTCAGAAATTTTATCTATTATAAGATTTTTTCTCTGTAAAAGTCATGTTCATTTTTATAAATTAATATCATGTTCATTGTGTTTTTTGAAATTAGCCTTATATTGTTAGACATTGTCTAGATTTTTTTGTTGTTTGGATTAGCATCTTTTTGTTTTGCATACCACAGAAGCAACCAAATTTCCTTGTCAGTTGCATTATTCTTGTCATGAATTCTTATCAGATCATTCATTCTTGAAAATTATCAGTAATAAGTTAATCAACACTTTTTGAGTCTCTGTCACCTACAGAGAGTTTTTATTTTACTCTGATGCTTCTTAAGGGCTCTGTATTCAGTTATAGAATAGAGGGGGAGTTTTTGTTTTTTGTTTTTTAAGAGATGGGATCTTGTTGTGTTGCCCAGACTAGAGTGCACTGGCTATTCACAGGCATGATCATGGTGCACTACAGTCCCACACTATTGGGCTCAAGGGACCCTCCCACCTCAGCCTCAGGAGTAGCTGGGACTGTAAGCATGCCACTGGGCCTGGCAGGCCAGAGTTTTTGTTTTTAACAACCGAGAACTGTCTCAGAAAAGCACTGTACTGAGTAATTGCTCTCGGGCATAGGCTTCTGATGGCACCACTTAGACAACATTAAGAACGTACTAGTGGACTGAGTCAGGAGTTCCAGAACTCTTTAGTCAAGGAGCAGATAAGTTTTTGAGATTGCTAACCCAAGATTCAGTGGGACAGAATTAATCACACTGGACCGCATGAACTGGTGAGGGATGGCTGTCTTCTAGGTTCAGAATATTGTTGATGTTGTTATAGTGTTCTATCTTCTGGACATATAAGGAAGACCTTTCTCTTTCTTCTTAGGCTATATTAACCCATAACAACTTAGTAGATTCTGCTTTCATAAACTGAAATGAAACACTTATAAATATATTTTTCTCCCTACCTGACTCCTCAGAATTCAGAAACTCTCATGGAATCTTCTTGCTTTTCATGGCAATATGGTTATTTGCACGGGCTGAGTAAGATTTTTTTTTTTTTTTTTAACCAGTATATAATTAGAAAAATCGGTTATTCAACCAAGACCTTGCCTGGATGTTGTATTTCATCAGGATGTCTATTTAATCAGATACAACCAGCCTCCTTTAAAAACTGAGGTTCGGCCGGGCGCGGTGGCTCAAGCCTGTAATCCCAGCACTTTGGGAGGCCGAGACGGGCGGATCAGGAGGTCAGGAGATCGAGACCATCCTGGCTAACACGGTGAAACCCCGTCTCTACTAAAAAATACAAAAAACTAGCCGGGCGAGGTGGCGGGCGCCTGTAGTCCCAGCTACTCGGGAGGCTGAGGCAGGAGAATGGCGGGAACCTGGGAGGCGGAGCTTGCAGTGAGCTGAGATCCGGCCACAGCACTCCAGCCTGGGCGACAGAGCGAGACTCTGTCTCAAAAAAAAAAAAAAAAAAAAAAAAAACAAAAACAAACAAACAAACAAAAAAAACTGAGGTTCACTCTATGGAGCCAATACTAAGAAAACCCTCCCAAGAAAACGGGCTTACTGGGTTTCCAGGTTTACAAGCCAAAAGGAAGGTCACTCCCTGGCTAGCCCAGAAACTTTAGGATATTTTGGGGACCCTGAGAAAAGGAATTTGCCCAAATATATCAGTACAGTAGGTAAAACCTGGTGGAGACAGTTTCTTGACTCAGCTTCTAATGTCAGGACAATAAATAATTAAAGGCTTTAAAAAATCGAATCTAGGATTCCTTATGAAAACTTCCAGTCAAGTTTATTAACTTAACAAGGGCTATAGGGTAAAACACACTTGTAGTACCTATGTACATAATCAAGTCAAATTCAATGAGACCAGCTTTATCTTGTGATCAAGAATAATCTTTCTAGGAAATTTTAAAAAAATCAAAACAGGAGAGACTGTAGAAAAACAATGTATGTCCATGGAAAACTATGCCTTGTCTAGCGGATAGTCCTCCAGGTTATCAGATTCCAGCTTTTAATTGACCTTGAGCTATTATAAAATTCTTTGAAGTGGTAGGTAACTGAGAAGTCACGCAAAATATGCCTGTGAAGATTATTTCAGTAGTCTTCCCTCACAACCTGTAGAAGACCATTTAGTCTCAATATTCCTAACCTATATATGAATATATTCTTTAGATTCTCTTTTTGAAATTGTAAAATATACATTATGTAAATTTTGCCATTCTAACCATTTTCAGTCTACATTTAAGTGGCATTAAGTATGTTCACATTGTCTCTCAACCATTACCATCATCCATTTCCTGAACTTGATCATGTTCCCAAACTGAAACTCCATACCCATTAAACAATAATTCCCCAATCCCCCTCTCTAAATTCTCTTTTGAACCGAAATCTTTAACATGGGTTCATTTTTATGTCTTTGTGAGAGTCAGAATTTTAACCTTTTTCTGAAAAATAACTTTTAACAGTCTCCAACTCAAAAAACACTAGGTAGATAATCTAAATTAGTGAAGAAGGCTAGAATTGATGAGAGCTCTCAACAATTAAAAAATGTGTAGGGTAGCCAATTGTCTCGTTTCACCCAGGATTGAGAGGGTTGCCGACAAAAGACTGTTTCAAAACCAGGACAAATTGGCCATTTTAATAGCATCTGCTGTATCTAAAGGGGACTCCTCAATCCTGTTCATTTAATTTGGAAATTTAGGCCCAGTATTGCCACATCATCCATTTTTCTTTTCTTTCCTTTTTTTACTTATAGAGACAGGGAGGGGTGTGAGGGGGGAACCGGGGTGGGGGGGTGGTGGTGGTCTGGCGATGTTGGCCAGGCTGGTCTCAAACTCCTGGCCTCCTTCAATTCTCCCATCTTGGCCTCCCAAAAGTGGTGGGATTACAAAGATGAGCCACCATGCCCGGTCCACATCGTCTGTTTTTCAAGAGAAGTCTGGAATCTAGCTATTTTTGTTAAATTTTATTTGTAAATAATGGTAACTAACACAATATTTTAAAAACTGTGCAGACCAAACGGACTGCTCCAGTGGCTGACTGCCTCTAAGAGTGGCTGAAACCCCTCCACCACACCTTGCAGCCCAACATGTGGTCCCTGCGGTCAGGAAGAGAATCACTGTGAAGCCCCTCGCCCATTGCTGAGGGGCTGCCCTGCTCTGCTCTGAGAGCTGTGCCCTTTCCAGGCGCTGAAAGGCCTCCAGACGAGCTCTCAGGACCACTGAGTTCTGGCCTTGGCGTTCGAAGGCTAAAGGGGACCAAGAGGGACACTCACAAACCCCAGTGGCCACCCCTTTCCTCTACCATCCCCTGGTCTCGGTTCCCCAGCCTGCGAGCCCAGGTTCCCCAGCTGCTCAACTACAGAAAGGCCTCTGAAAGCGCCCTGGGTGTGTGTTAGGAGGGGAGGATGGAAACGGGAAACGCTGGAGACTCTCCCCGGCAGCCTGTTCTTCACCAGTGTCACAGAGTCAGCGTCGCGGGGTCTGGGGGAGGGCGGGCGGAGTTAGGCAGGGAGGGTTATCAACCTCCGAGGTGGGCGCCGCTGGAGGAGCCCGCGACCAAGTCCCGCCAGCACCCCTGGCCAAGCGGCGACGCCAGGACCGATCTGGGGGTGATCTCCGAGGCCCCTCGCGGCCCCCCGCAAGCCCCGAGCCCGGGAGGTCCTGGTGCGCCTCCCTCCCCTGCCCCGCTCACCAGCTGTCCCGGGAGAAGGCGCGGAAGAACCAGACTCCCGGAGCCAGAGAGGACCGCATTTTGCCCGACCGGTACCCAAGGCTGAGTCGACGGAGGAGGCTTCGGAGCTGGGCGCGTGTCCCGGGCGGGACTGGCTGTCAGCGGGGTTTAAATGCCCCGCCGGCCGGCCCGCCCTGACCCCGCGGCCGGAGTACGGCAGCGCCCGCCCCCTTGCGCCTGACCGCCCTCGGGGTTGGGTCCAGCGCAAACCTGCCGGTCATCCCTAGTCCGGCCGCTGGCACCGCAGCGCTCCGGTGCTTTGCTTCCTGGCCACGGCCCGACAGCTCTGAAGTGCTGGGGCTCCCCTTTCCGCCCTGCGCTTTCTGCCTCACCGCCCGCCGGGGAACCGAAAGCAGCAATCTGGTCGCTGTCCGGTGTGACGTGCCTGCCTGCCCGCACTACCCCGCAGCGCTTCCTGTCCTGAAAAGCCGTGGGCTCCGACATGAGTGGGACATGAGATGCTGGAGGGTTGGAAGTCACACTCAGCGGCCCCGCATGACACTAATCTCAGTACTCGCACCTTCTGGGAGCGCAGGAGTTTTTTTCGTGGGCGGGGGCGGGGGGCGACAATATTTGGCCCAAACACAGCACAGGTTCAGGCTGGGGCTTCCTGCCCTGCTCATATTCCACAGGACCCCCCTCTTCCCCCACTTCACAGACACTAGCCCTCACGCGCTCCCGCCATGACAATGTGGCAGTCACTCCTGCTCTGCCTTCTGGAGGCAAGCAGCCACCAGGCAGAGACTTCTGTGGTCCTGAAAGTGACTGCCTCTAAACTGAAGATTTCAGGGTATGTTTCCACTGATAATTGTGAGATCTTGTATATGAACCCAAGGGTGAACTACAAAGGACTGCAAAGGGAAGTATTCCCCTGAGGAATAAAGTTAATAGAACATAAAATAGGAGTGTCTGAGCAAATGGGTTTCAACCCTAACCCCACCCTGCCCCTAATTCCTAGGAGTGCCCAGGCCCTATGTGCAAGGTCAGAGAAGTGGAGTAACAACTCCACCAAACAGATTAGGACCCAGAATAATGGGCTTGGCTGGTACCAGCCCTAGAATCAAGAAAAAGAGGGTAAGCAGAGTTGTAAAAGCCTCTGTTAATCCCAGGCAGTCAGGGGCATAGGTCTAGTGGCAGAAATGAAGACGGTAACACGCCAACGACAAAAGGTAAAGGAATAGAGAAAAGAAGAAAGGCAATAAGTAGAAAGGAGGCCCAAATAAGGTGCAGAGGCTTGAAACACCAAAGGACCAGTGTCATTACTGGCGATTCACTGAATCAAACCTGATTAGACCACTCACTGTGCCTGGGGGTATGTTCATTTCACTCTTACAAGTCAGTTAGGTGGCTATTATCCAGCTAGGTAAGGTGACTCTATGTCTTGGTTTGCCTGGGACAATCCCAGGAGACACCTGCTGTCCCAGAATCTAGGAGGGACCCACTCTAGCGTCAATAATCACAAGTACCCCAGGTTAAGGTGCTCCTTTAAGGGGTGGCAAATACACTAGAGGAATGAGCTGATATCCCCAGGAAGGGAATTATTTCTCCGCTGCTTATTTCTGAGGGACTAAAGGGAAGGATAAAATTGGAATCCAGTTGAGCCAAGCAAGCAGCTGAAGTTCCTTGATGCTACATTTCAGGAGTAGGTGGACATCACCAGAGGAAGGGAAGAGACCATCTCCAGAGCTTCAGAGGTGCTGTCCAGACTTCAGTAGTGTGGAACATCTGTCTTTCCATTTGAGACAGACAGAAGCCAAGAATAAGGGTCACTCCTGCTCATTTGTCAGGAAGCTGTGTTCCTGCCTCACAGGAGACCATGCTTGTCTGAGGCTGGACTCTCAGAAAGGCATTAGGAATATGGCCTCATGGTAGTACGGCTATTGTTCACAGTGCACCAAGTAGCTGGGAGCAGGGCCGGTCCTGAAACAGACTTTGCCTTGTCACAGTTACTTCCTGTGAATTCCAGCCAAGTATCCCTGTTCAGGGGCCAGGGTGGCAGTGGGAACACTCCTACCAATGATGGAACTCTTTCCTGCTCGCTCCTGTTGGTGAGCTGGCCGACCTCTTTGTTTCCTACTGCCTGGGGGAGTGGCAAAGAGGGATATTGTGCCTCAGGGAGTGCCTTCACTCACCTACACAACCTCACCACTCTCAACTCACCTTCTTGTTATTATCAGGTCCCCCTCCCACAACCACCTCCTCAAACCCTGCAGAATGTGGACAGGATCTGAAGGAAATAAAGAGGGAGGGGAGGAGCTACTGAATCAAACGCTAAAGGAAAAGATCCTCAGTTCTTATATGGATAGCCTTATACTCTGTCAAAAATGCTTCCTATGGTTCAGTATGAGACACTGGTGAGAAAGAAGCCATTTTACCCATCAAATAACAGTCCCTACTGCTAGCAAGTTCCATGACCACCCACAGGACTGTTGGGGTAGCCAATTGGTGTTTTATGCCCTTTAAGACACAACAACAAGTGTCTTCCCTGTTTTTTCAAAGAGACAGAAGGATCCAAATGCTTAAGTCTATGAGGACAAATGCCATAAGAATAGGCCACTAGGTAACAGAACTCCAAAATTTTATCCCATCCACAAGCATCAGTTTTTGAACATATTTGCCTCCTTCCACTTCTGTCTTACTAAACAGAGAAAAGCATATTTTTTTGTAATACAATCAAGACCCAGAGTCTTGATCAAGGGGGTAAGAATTGGGATATTAGGATAAATTGTAATTATTCAATCTTTTAAATATTCAATTTCATATTAGGCCCTTTTATTGAGAGGCAGAGTGGTGCAGTAAAAAGAACATTGGCTTGGAGTTAGAACCAAGTCTGTTCAAGATACTTACTACTTCACTAAGCCTCAGTTCCCTCCTCTGTAAAATGTGTGTAACAGCACCTACCTTACAGAGTGCTGTAAGAATCAAACATTCGTGCATATAAAAAGTGTAACAGTGCCTGGCCATATTAAGTAGGTTTGGCAAATGGAGCAATTACGTGTGCAGGAGCTAATATATTGGTATTAGGGTCAGATATTGACTGCAGCTGACAGAAACCAATGACTGTCATAAATGAGAACAAAATACAGGGGTTAAAGGATCAAAATTCTTAAAAAGGACCAATGGGTATAACAAAATAAATTTTTGACCTGCAAAATCCTTAATATCGTGTGCTTGTGTGTGTATCTGTGTATGTATGTATATATATACAACTTAACCCACTGAGTTATTGTAAGCTTTGTGGTAATACATGTTGAATAATTTGGGGTTGACAAGGATGTGTGTATGGCTTGAGTAGAGTGTCATAAAAATGAAAGAAGTTATTGTCTTAAATATGTTGGATGCTGAAATCTCACTAAGAATTACTACTAAATTCTTCCCGGCTAACACAGTCAAAAGATAGATAAGCAAGGTGACCAAAGGTATTCAAAAATATTTTATTTCTCAATAGAAGTCAAACTTCTGGAATGCTTAGCAAAGAACATTCCAGCCCTTATATAACTGGCCAAAAGTAGGGGCTTCAATGTACTGAAGACTAGATTGATGGTTCATAATGGCCTGAAGAATGGGCTTTGGAGACCTATCAGTCCACTGACAGGGCAGCCCTGCTTTCAAATGGTCAACCCCCTTAGGATACCAGTAGTGACAGCAGGTATATACAAAGACAGCCTGACAGCCAGTAGTCTTTAGGAAGAGAAGAGAAGGATGGAGAAATTGTTAAATTATTAAAATTTCCCAAAGTCACCTTGTTTAGAGGAAAAATTAAAAGGAATATATGGTAATGACAAAAGTGAGGTAGTCTCAGCCTGGTCACACAGCTGGGGACAGTTTTTAGTTGTTCTAGTATCTGAAAGTAACCATTCACTTACTTGCTTAATAAACATTTGTTGTCTGTAATCCCAGCACTTTGGGAGGCCAAGGTGGGAGGATCACCTGAGGTCAGGAGTTCAAAACCAGCCTGGCCAACAAGATGAAACCCCGTCTCTTCTGAAAATACAAAAATTAGCCAGGTGTGCTGGCACGCGCCTGTAATCCCAGCTACTCAAGAGGCTGAGGCAGCCGAGTCACTTGAATCCAGGAGGCAGAGGTTTCAATGAGCTGAGATCGTGCCACTGGGCTCCAGCCTGGGAGACACAGCAAGAGTCCGTCTCAATAAATAAATAAGTAAATAGCATTTGTTAAGTGACAACTATGTGCCAAGCACAGTGCTATGTGCTGAGGATACATTAATGAAAAAGACAGGCCGGGCACAGTGGCTCACGCCTGTAATCCCAGGACTTTGGGAGGTCGAGGCGGGCGGATCACCAGGTCAACAGATCGAGACCATCCTGACTAACACTGTGAAACCCCGTCTCTACTAAAAAAAAAAAAAAAAATACAAAAAATAAAATTAGCTGGGCGTGGTGGTGGGCGCCTGTAGTCCCAGCTACTCAGGAGGCTGAGGCAGGAGAATGGCGTGAAGCCGGAGGGGCGGAGCTTGCAGTGCGCCAAGATCGAGCCACTGCACTCCAGCCTGGGCAACAGAGCGAGACTCCGTCTCAAAAAAAAAGTCAGACATAGTCCCTAATCCCAAAGAATTTACAGTCAAATGGGACAGAGATGTATAGAGATAATCCCACTTCAAACAACTTGGCAGAAGAGATCAACTCAAACAAGAAATACGTTATATAAAGAAGAAAATGTTCATATGGTGGCACTGATCAAATAACTCCGGGAGACTCTCAGAAGGCTTACTGTAGATAATATAAGAACTAGGTTTGAAGAATAGCTAAGTGCATACCAAGCGAAGAGGAAAAAGGTTGAACCGGAAAATTGCATGTGCAAAACAAGGAATCATGAAAAAGCACGGTACATTGAAGAAACGGTGCATGAGACATTCTTTGTAGCTGGTGAGTACGTGTGCAAGGTGGGGAGCTGCAGAAGATATGACTTATTACATGTGGTGAGACAGTGAAGAACCTTCAATGTCAACAATAAGGGGTTGGAACTGTATTCTTTAGAGAGTTGGTTGCTATAAGACAGCTTTAGAAGGGTAAAGACAGGATCAGATTTATGTTTTCAGAGGAGAAATGGCCATTTAACGGGGCTTTGTCAGACTTCCAGTTCTGGATGAAGACAGAAGAGATACACTTCTCTCTATTCTTCTTGCTAAGTACCATTAAAAACCATGGACATTATATATAAAGCAAGCATAAGAAAACTCTGAAAAGTGGAGACAAGACAGATCAGTGAGGGACCTTGAGATCTAAGGAAAGACACGGTGGTGAGTTATCTGGGTTTGATTTTGGCTTCATATATCTCAGACTGGGTGCTGAAGAAGCCAGGAAATCCAGAAGCACCAATGACACAGACAGAACACCAAAGCTCAAAGAAATGCTGGCTCTGTCTAGCCACGGGACCAAGGAAGGGGCAGCCTAGCAATAACCACCCTGCTCCAACTAAACCTCACAGAAAACACTGCAGCCCCACCCCACCTTATCAGCAAAGGCCAGTGGGGAACCTAGACTTCCACTTGCACCTGGCTGTAATGAGGGGCGCCCCCCCGCCCACCGCCTGGCTGGTATCAGAGAACTCCAATGGGAAAGCAGGACTTTCACCACTTTCCAATGGTAAAGAGCACCCCACCCCAACCACCAAGGTGTCATTGGAGGTCACATGGGGAGCAGTAAGGAGCCCATACAGGGCAATATCAATGGAGGCCTAGTGGAGAGCCAGAACTCCCACCCTTTCAAGCAGTAATGAGGTGCCCTGCCCTGCCTCCCTCCACCAGGGATGTTAACAGAGGCCAAATAGGAAACCTGGACTTTCACCCCCCCACCCCTGGCAGAGGAGATAAAAAACATTACCCAAATATATGCTGTCACTTTTCTAAGAAACTAAAATACACTTACCATACATTTACTGCACTTCTGGGCATTTATCCCAGATAACTGAAAATTTCCATCCATACAAAAACCTGTACATGAATTGTCCATAGCAGCTTTATCTATAATAACAAAAACCTGGAAATAACAAATATGCCCCTCAATAAAGTTAAACTAATTGTGGTACATTCATACCATGAAATACTACTCAACAATAAAAAGAAATGAACTATTGACACAATGGCATTATGCCAAGTGAAAAAAAATCCATCTCAAAAGGTCACATACTGTATGATTTCATAACAATCTCAACATGACAAAATCATAAAAATGGAAAAGGGATTAGAGATGGACAGGAGTTAAGGAAGGTGGTGGCTGAGAGGGGTGTAACTTTATAGGGGTAACACAAGGGAGGTCTTTGTGGTGATGGAATAATTCTGTTTTGTTTGCATTGGTGTTTACGCAAATCAATGCATGTGATAAAACAGCAGACACAGACATACTGTACTATGGTTATGTCAAATGTAATCACTGGGGAAAACTGTAAAGGAACCACAAACTCTTTGACCTGTTTCTGTAACTCCCTGTGAATCTATCCTTAGTTTATAAAAGTCTTACAAAGTTGAAAGAGAAAGCTCTATGTCAACTTTAATTTCCTTTTAGTAGTTCTCAGTTTTCTAATTCCAGAAACAGGATGGGAGAAATTCACCTTTTAAGTAGAAATCTTTCCTTTGGAGAATATGCTATGGAGCAGCATGGTCAGCTGCCCATAGTAACTCAAGTACCTCACTAGCAATACAGATTTCAGTACTGTGCCTTAGATTCCAAGTTGTAATACTTGTTTTTTTTCTTCAACTTTTAAGCTCAGGGGTACATGTGCAGGATGTGCAGGGTCGTTACATAGGTAAATATGTGCCATGATGGTTTGCTGTACAGATCGTCCCCTCACCTAGGGATTAAGCCCAGCTATTCTTCCTGGTTTTCTCCCTCCGCTCCCTGCCAGTGCCACCCCCACCCCTGCCCCGCCTCTGACAGGCCCCAGTGTGTTGTTCTCTCCATGTGTCTGTGTGTTCTCATCATTCAGCTCCCACATATAAGTGAGAACATGCAGTGTTTGGTTTTCTGTTCCTGCATTAGTTTGCTGAGGATAATGGCCTCCAGTTCCATCCATGTTCCTGCAAAGGACAAGATCTTGTTCCTTTTTATGGCTGCATAGTATTCCATGGCACATATGTACCAGATTTTCTTTATCCAGTCTATCACTGATGGGCATTTGGGTTGATTCCATGCCTTTGCTGTTGTGAATAGTGCTGCAATGAACATATCTGTGCATATATCTTCATAACAGAATGATTTATATTCCGTTGGGTATATACCTAGTAATGGGATTGCTGGGTCAAATGGTATTTCTGTCTGTAGGTCTTTGAGGAATTGCCACACTGTCTTCCACAATGGTTGAACGAATTCATACTCCCATCAGCAGTGTAAAAGGGTTCTTTTTTCTCTGCAATCTTGCCAGCATCTGTTTTTTGACATTTTAATAATAGCCATTCGGACTGGCATGAGATGGTATCTCACTGTGGTTTTGATTTGCATTTCTTTAGTGATCAGTGATGTTGAGCTATTTTTTTTAAAGGTGTAACTCCGCTTTTATCGAACAGCTTCATCGGCACCTCTAGAATACTCCTTCCTATTACTCAGACAAACAAATTTAACTTGCAGAGAACAGACATGCCTGGTTCACACAGTGATGTTGGTGGAAAGATGAGATAGAAGCTCTCCCCAAGGGCCACTCCATTTGTAGGAGCAGATTCCTTCTTATCATGTGGGACTAACCTCTGTTTCTGTGACCAATTAAGCCTATGATAGGCTTCATTAGGCCTAAGATAGGCTCAAGGAAGTTGTGGGAATGCCTCCCTGCCTTACACTGCTCCTCAGGTCTACAACTAGGAATGTATTCTCATTGTAACATCATGAAGCAAGAGGAATGAAACAGGGAGAACAGGTTGAACAAATGAAAATGGAAATGGGTTTAGAAATCAAAAGCATGTGACTTCAAGAACTATGATGCTTTTCACAGGCAAGGACTGAAAGGTCTTCAAGGGAAGAGTTTTATTAGTCAGATTAAAGAAGGTCTGAATAAACAAAACAGCACTACACAATAAAGCCTGAAGATATCCTTGCTGCCTCTAGATGTCTACAGCAGCCCCAACAGGTAGGCCCCAGATCTGGAAAAACTTGACTCTTCCATCTGCTTTGTCCCAGCAAAAGCTTCATCCTAGAATTTCCCTACAACTCTTCAACATTGGCCTGAGAGCCCTGGCTCCTAGTACACGGTTGGCATTCCTTATTGTAAAATATATGAAGGACAGGCTACAAGACTCAGGAATCAAGATCAAGATGGAAATTTCTGGGAAAAGAGTGCTGATCCACTCTACCTTCTTAGAAACTCATTCTCAAGCCCAAATGTTTCTTTCTTCAGAATTAAGTAACATCCAAATGTTCACTGTATGCCAAAGCATGCTCTACTAATTTCTATTTTCTTTCTTTTTTTTTTAATTAAAATAATTTGTTTTAGAGACAGGATCTTTCTCTGCCACCTAGGCTGGAGTGTAGTGGTGCTACCATAGCTCACTGCAGCCTCGAACTCCTGGGCTCAAGTGATCCTCTCATCTCAGCCTCCTGGGTAGCTGGAACTACAGGCATGTACCATCATGCCCAATTAATTTATTTTTTTTATTTTTGCTTTTTTAGAGATAAGGGTCTCACTATGTTGCCCAGGCTGGTCTCTACTCCTGGCCTCAAGTGATCCTCCCCCTTCAGCCTTGGGATGACAGGTGAGAGCCACCATGTCCAGCGTGTCTGGTATTTTCTGATCACTGTTACTAAACCTTTTCTCCCCCTTCTTAGTAATGAATTGAAACAAGTACTTCCTAGTTTATGATGACAGAGTTTCAGCTAGAGAGAAACGGACATGCCCAGATATCTCTAGAAAAGCCAGAAAACACTTCAGTTTCTTTCAAGTTCTTGTCTTATCAAGTCCTTG